TTCTGTGGCTCCAGGTGAATTAGAAATCACCAGATTTGACCTCTTGAGAATGAACACAGCCAGAATCTAAGTCCACATTCCAGTCAGCACAGGGAAGTCCAAGCCTAATTTTTTTCTAGAGAGCATGTGCACTTGCCAGAGATAGACAGAAAGAGAAAGGGAGGAGAAAGCATCTCCCATGGAAGAATGGCTGCACCACAATCTCTCCTCCCTCCTTTTAAGATTTTGGGCACGCACACACACACGCCTAGTGTGTTTTTCAAGCCTCCAGGTCTGGGATGAAAACCACACAGTCAGCTTTGTGACATCTAACTGCCTTACTCACCATGCCACAGAGCTGGCTCCAATCACGATTTTAAAGTGACCTAAGGATCTCTAAAGGATAACTCTGCAAATCATCTGCCATGGCAACATTTCCACCCAAAAAACATTTCCGTGAGCTGGGAGGCTGCTAAAGGATGACCTGGTTATGGGTCAGCCAGTTGCACAGTAGTTAAGGAGGCTGTTCATTCTGAAGAGGTCAAATCTGGTGATTTCCAATTGGCCTGGAGCCACAGAACCACAGGCACCTGGATTGAATGCCATCCCTCAGTTGAAAACGTCCCACTGTGAAGATAAGGAAACCAAGACCCACATAGCCAACTGTGAGGTTTGAGTCCTGGACCCAGCAACTTGAAAACCACACTAGGCATGAGTGCATGCATGCCCAGAATCTGAGAGGAGAATGGGAGAGAAGAGACTGTGGCATGGTCGTTTCTCCAGCAAGCACATACACTCTATGGCAAAACTAAAAGAAAAAGAATGACCTAGTCACTCAGATGATTCCAGGAACCAACCACAATTCAGTCTCTGGAAGTTTGTAGTGGAGCCTTTTCCAAACTCAGCCAACCTTGGAGCTGGTCAGATGCTAGAGGGAGCTGCTTCTCCAAGGAAGGTTGGGCACCAGTTTGGAGAGGGAGGATGCTTGCAGGGGCCCACCATCTCCCCTACTGCCCTCAGCACTCTGCCCACTTTCACATGAAGGGATCGAGTCATAGCAGGAGACTGGCCCCATGGCCCCAAGCTATTTTTCCAGCTGTCCATGCATCCCCAGGCCACAGGCTTTTATATACCTTGGCCCAGAGAATATTGTCAGGCATCTGGACACCCACTGAGTCCCAGCCCAGAACTAACACTAGGTGGGCGTGGGGAGGTTGGGCAGAGTCACGTCCTTCTCTGGGCCTCCTCTAGTCTCTTCTATACATATAAGACTGGAAAATCTCCAAAATCTTTTTAGGTGAGCAGGCTACACTTCTAGAGCAGTAATTAAAAACCTAGTTTTGAAGTCAGACAAAATAGGCCTGAACCAGTTTAAAGATTCCATATTTCTTCAAGCCTCAATGGACAACTAATATCCTCCCAACTTAATAAACAACAGTGCAGTTTGTGTAAATTATAACGAGGCATCTTGACTTCTAAGGAAAGGAGTCAGACATCTAATGGTTTCCCCTTAACAGCAGCTTAGAGAAGAAGAATTGAGAAGCAGCCCTTCCCTTCATGACCCTTGGCATCAACTAACTTGCACAAGGCCAAGGGTATTTCCTGTAAAACTATGGAACCCTAATTGTTTCAACATATGCCAATACATCTGATGATGTGAGATAGACAGTCAACAGGAGTCAGGTTACAGAGAGGGATGCTAGAGACCCTAAGTGGAAACACATCACAAAAGGGCAGAAGAAGGTCTAGCACAGTAAAGCAAGCTCCACACAAGTCAGAATGTTGTAGAGAAGAGGATGAGACCAGACACAGGAAGGGCAGGGTCCTGATTTGGCCAGCTTAGTGACAAAAGTAGCTAGTTGGGCCTGGGCAGAGAAAGAACTGCAGAACTTCAAAGGCCAGGCTACTATGCTCCCCTCCAACAGAGCAAGGAGGAGAATTTTCTTCCTATCTTGCAAAATATTTGCCCCACTCAAATGAGAACATGAGGATTCTAGAAATATGTGGGAGGGGCCAGAGAGTAGTGTAATGGTTAAGGCACTGGACTTCCACGTGGCCAATCGTGATTCGAGTCCTAGACCTGGTAGCTTGAAAATTCACACCAGGCGCGTGTGCATGAGTGCCCAAAAATCCCAGGAGGAAAATGGAGGAGAAGGTCTTGCAGCATGGCCATCCCCCCAGGGGGCAATTTCTTGCTTTCTCTCCCTCTGTTTCTTTCTGTTTCTCCAGCAAGCATGCACACCCTATAGCAAAAATCTCTATTAAAGAAAAAAAGAAATGTGTTGGTAAGAGTCATCTGTATGACTTCCATTTTCTTGGATAAGCACATATGGGGTATACAAAATAACTCTGTTGTTCTGGTTGATGTTTCTCAACCTCAGCACCATTGACATTTTGGGTAAGGATAATTCTTGGTTGTGGAATTATAGGATATTCAGCTACATTCCTGGCCTCTACCCATTAAGAGCCAGTAGTAACACCACCACCCCGAAAATATCTCCAGACATGCCAAATGTCACTTGCAAGACAAAATAGCCCCCAGGGAAGAATTATTCTTCTTAAAGTAAGAAGGCATATTTTCTTTCTAAAATCAACATGCTGGTCAATGTGATTGATGGTCTCATCTTTTTACCAGAAACAAATTTTAAGTTTTTTAATTGCCAGAGGATGTGTGCACCCACCAGAGAGAAAAAAAGAGTGATAGAGAAACAGAGAAGGAGCAAGCCCTCCCTCCCCTCATGGGACATGGTCATGCCACAATCTCTTCTATTCCATTTCTCCATCCTATTGAGATTTGGGGCACACATACACATGAATGTGGCATGTTTCTCAAACTGCTGGGGCCAGAATTCAAACTCTGGTTGACCATGTGAAATCCAGCTCCCTTAACCACTAGGCCATGGGACCAGCCAAGAAACAATTTTTAAAAGCTTATAATCACTGAGCTTTGGGGAGGTGCTATGTAAGTTCCTTATCTGTAAGCAGGGTCTTCAAAATGTTTACAAATAAAACATATTATAAAAAAAAAAAAACTATGCACAGACTTCAAAATTTTTTTCACCAAAATAAATTCATACTTTTTTTTAATGATAGAGAGAGTATGTGTACCCACATGAGAGAAAAGGAAAAAGAAGAGAAAAGGCAACCTTGTCAGGGTCTTATCATATCATGATCTCCTTTCCCCAGCCTTCCAGTTCCTCAGGATTTTGAACACCTGCAAGCATATCTGGTGTATTTTCAGGCCAACCCTAGGATCTCAATCCAGCACTGTACTCTAGGATACCATATAATGGACTGGGCTGGGCCAACTTGTACTTAATTCCATTTTTCCACAGACTCTTTGAAATGCCTTTGTATTGGCTCATTTAACACTCTAACAACTCAATGCAACAGGCATTACTATTACCCCTATCTTGCAAAGGAGGAAACTGAGATGCAAAACATTTTTTAACTTGCTCCTGGTTACATAGCTAGAAAGTGTAAAGTGAGGGTTTGGATTCCAGTAGACCATGTTATACATAATATCCAATATACAAATTAAAAACAAAAAGCTGTGACCTGCTCTTTTGACATTCCCCAATCCACGATTTAACCAATCATATCCCATGGAAAACCATCCAATCAGAGCTAGACACTGCCTTGGTCATGAGAGCTAAAAAACTCTTGGAGAGGGACTAGCAGATGGCGTAATGGCTATGTCACTGAACTCCTATGTAGTTGATCATGGTTTGAGTTCAAACCCAGCAGGGACCAGCAGTTAATGTAATGGCTATGTCACTGAACTACCATGTAGCCAACCATGGTTCAAGTCCTGGACCTGGTGGCTTAAACTCATGCCAGGCGCATGTGTGTACATGCCCAAGATCCCAAGAGGAAAATGGAGGAGAAGGGATTGCAGCATGGCCATCCCCCCCCAGGAGATGATTTCTCACTTTCTGTCTCTCTGTCTCTCTCTCTGGCAAGCACATGTGCCCTATAGCAAAAACTTCTCCAAAAAGAAAAAAAAAAAATCCCGGCAGCTTGAACCTGCCAGGCACACTGTGTGTGTGCCCAAAATCCCAAGAGGAGAATGGAGGACAAGGGATTGTGGCATGGCCATGCCCCCTGCAGGGGGTGATTTCTCACATTCTGTCTCTCTGTCTGTCTTTCCAGTGAGTACATGCACCCTATAGCCAAAATTTCTCTCTAAAAAATAAATAAATAAATAAATAAATAAATAAACAAACAAACAAACAAACAAACAAACTGTTGCAGGAATTCAAGTAATTGTCTTAGAGTTGTGGCTTAAGATAAAGTAAGTTCAGCTCATTGTTAAAAAATATAAACTTTATGGACAAAAGACAATGTGACAAATGGGAAAATTCGAGTCAGGATAAGCAAGAAGATAAAAGCTGAGGACTGGTAAATCACCCTATATCATGTATGCTGTGGGTCTTAGCTGCTCTAAACCTGCCTTGGCCTCTGTTAATTCTTCCAATAGAATAAAACCATGGTCCTGTAAGAGGTGAGCTATCTCCAAAAGAACAAAGACCCAAGTTGTCAAATTTAGCAAATAAAAATGTAGGCTACCCAGTCAAATTTGAATTTCAAGTCAACAAATAACATTTTCAGTGTAAGCATGTCCTATACAATATTAGGACATACTCAGGCTTTTAAAAAAAATACTCATTTATCTGAAATTCTAATTTAACTGGGCATCCTATATTTTCTCTGGCAACCCTTCCCTAAGACGGACTGTTTGGATCTTGTCCACTGAAAAGAACAGAAACCCCTTAGGACACCACGCTTGCCAGAGCCTAGTCTCCTCAGTAAAAGGAAGATGAAAAGGTCCCACTCTGTCCCCCAGATGCCCGGGCTGGCCCTCCCAGTACAACCCCTCTCTCTGCTCTTTCTTCGGTCTACCCTCTCCTGCCCTTTATACCCACTTGGAGAAATTCCATTGACACAAGGAATCCTCAGAGGGTTAATCCTCCTGATACTAAGTCACACTTTAACTCATTCCCTCCAGGCCAAGGATTAAAAACTGCCCCGTAAGGGTCAGGAGTACAGCAGACCCTGAAAACTGAGCTGTCCCCAACCCCCAAAGTAGGAAAGCTGAAGGGAAAGGGAGGGACAGAACAGAGAGGGAAGAAGGAGGGGCAGCCCACAGGCTGCTGTACCCCCCCTCAACACACACACACAAAGCCAGCTCAGATTCAACTCTAGGAGCAACTCAGCTGCAGAGGAAACGGCAGCCCCTATCTGGACAGCAGGCAGACAGACAGACAGACGGACAGAGGTCCTGGGACTGGAAGTCCTCAGCCTCCAGCTGCTTGGCCAGGCCTGGCCCCATGGCCTTCAATGACCTCCTGCAGCAGGTGGGGGGCGTCGGCCGCTTTCAGCAGATCCAGGTCACCTTGGTGGTCCTCCCCCTGCTCTTGATGGCCTCCCACAACACCCTGCAGAACTTCACCGCTGCCATCCCCTCCCACCATTGCCGCCCACCTGCCAACGCCAACCTCAGCAAGGATGGGGGACTGGAGGCCTGGCTGCCTCGGGACAGGCATCGGGGGCAGCCCGAGTCCTGCCTCCACTTCACCTCCCCCCAGTGGGGACTCCTATCTCCCAATGGCACAGAGGCCAATGGCACGGGGGACACAGAGCCCTGCACCAATGGCTGGATCTATGACAACAGCTCCTTCCCTTCCACCATCGTGACTGAGGTGAGTACTTGGGACTCCCCCTCTGTGTGCCTTCTCCTCCAAGACAGATGACAGAGAAAGAGAGAGAGAGACTGTCTCAAGTTCCCTAGGGGCCATGATGGGAATATAGGGAAAGTTGGTCAGGATTCAAGATGGGGGCCTTTGTCCAGCCGTGATGGCGCAGGTATTCCACAATGCAATGCCAAGTCACGTGGCCGACTGCAGGTTTGATTCCAAGTCAACCTAAACATACGCTGGGTGTACATATGCCTCGGCTCCTGGGAGAAGGGGATCACAGTGTGACAAGACCCTGTTGAGGGTGTCTCTTGTGTCCATGCGTGCACGCCCACATCCACGTACACTTTATCTCATAACAGAAAGAAAGAGAGAGAGAAAGGAAAGGAGGAAGGGAAGGAAATAGGGAGGGAGGAAGAAAGAGAGAGAGAAAGAAGAAAAAGAGAAAGAAAGAAAGAACGAAAGAAAGAAAAAAAGAAAGAAAGAGAGAGAGAGAGAGAGAGAGAGAGAGAGAGAGAGAGAGAGAGAGAGAGAGAGAGAGAGAGAGAGAGAGAGAGAGAGAGAGAGAGAGAGAGAGAGAGAGAGAGAGAGAGAGAGAGAGAGAGAGAGAGAGAGAGAGAGAGAGAGAGAGAGAGAGAGAGAGAGAGAGAGAGAGAGAGAGAGAGAGAGAGAGAGAGAGAGAGAGAGAGAGAGAGAGAGAGAGAGAGAGAGAGAGAGAGAGAGAGAGAGAGAGAGAGAGAGAGAGAGAGAGAGAGAGAGAGAGAGAGAGAGAGAGAGAGAGAGAGAGAGAGAGAGAGAGAGAGAGAGAGAGAGAGAGAGAGAGAGAGAGAGAGAGAGAGAGAGAGAGAGAGAGAGAGAGAGAGAGAGAGAGAGAGAGAGAGAGAGAGAGAGAGAGAGAGAGAGAGAGAGAGAGAGAGAGAGAGAGAGAAGAAAAAGAGAAAGAAAGAAAGAAAGGAAGGAAGGAAGGGAGAGAGAAAGAAGGAAAGAAGAAAGAGAGAGAAGGGAAAATACGGTAGCCTTTGTGGAAAAGGTGGATGTGAGAGCTCCTAACAAAAAAGAAAATTAAAAGTGCTTTTAGCTCCTAAGACCAGGGAGACAAAGAGCAAAAGAAACGTCAGGGGGAAAGGGTGTCATGGATCCCAAAGGACCAACCCAAGGAGAGTAAGGGGCTACCCCTGCCTGACTCTTGCTCCCCTCCCCCACAGTGGGACCTCGTGTGCTCTCACAGGGCCTTACGCCAGCTGGCCCAGTCCTTGTACATGGTGGGGGTGCTACTCGGAGCCATGGTGTTTGGCTACTTGGCAGACAGGTCAGTCCTGGGAAGGGCCCCGGGGACGGGCTAGGACCTGAGGCTCCTCAGCTGGGCTCAGGGGGCCTGGGTGGGAGGTTGGCATTTTCAGCGGGGGCTGATTTGTGGACCCACAGCACCAGCCTCATAATATCTCACAGGTCCTCTAAAGAATCTCAGCCCGGGGAACTCACCCAGGGCAAGCATTCCTCTCCTGACCCATCCTGGCCCCATCGGTCCTCAGGCCCCTGCAGCAGGTCTTCCCTCCCCTGCACAGGCTGGGCCGCAGGAAGGTGCTGATCTTGAACTACCTGCAGACAGCCGTGTCAGGGACCTGTGCGGCCTTTGCACCCAACTTCACTGTCTACTGTGCCTTCCGGCTCCTCTCAGGCATGTCTCTGGCTGGCATCGCCCTCAACTGCATGACTCTGAGTAAGGGATGCTCACCTACTACTCCCCTCTGACCACCTACCCAGTAGTCCCCTCCCTGCCTCCTCTCCCAGCCCACTCCTCTTGAGCCCTGCCTGCCCTTCCGCCTCTCCCTGGGATCTGTCCTGCTGGCAAATGTAACATCCTTTTTCTCAGGCACACATTTCTCACCTCTCATTTGGAAATGGGATTGCAAACTCAATTGTTATACAGTTAGCAAGTCAAGAGGCATTAGTCAGGGTGAAGAATGTATGTATCCAAAGGAGAAATACACCCTTTCCAGAGATGCTACAGACATGCAGCTCCTCCAGCCAGGAGACTCTAGGGCTATCAGGTCTTCCTCTCTCCTGTTTAGTTCATGTAATAAAGCCCAGTTTGTTTGTTTTTTAAATTTGCTATAGAGCATGTATGAGGGCCAGAGAGAGATGGTGGTGGGTATGGGGGGCAGTGAGAACCCTCTCCCTTCCCCTGCGCCCTCCGGGGAGAGGGGATGGCCACACCCTTCTCCTCCATTCCTCTCTCAGGATTTGGGCACGCACATGGGCCCGGCATGTTTTTCAAGATGCCAGGTCCAGGACTCAACCACTCAGTCAGCTATGTGGGATCCAGTGACCCTAACCACCATGTCACTGGCTGGCCCAATGGCCCAGATTTTCAGTGTTTTCTATTAACTCTAATATTTCTAAACATAGGGTAAGCCAGCACACTTATGGACTGAGTACGGTCTGTTCATGGATCATCCATGTGCACCCTCTGATAGATAAACTCCCCTTTCTGTTTCTCAGATGAAGATCCTAAGGCAGGGGAGAAGGGGGAGAGTTTACCCAACATTATCCCTCAAATACAAAAGGGAATCCAAGGATTTGAGATTCTCTGGACTAAAGGAATTAAATGGGACTGAGCTAGGACTTGGGAAGGACACCTAAGGAATGTAATCCCAAAGTCCAACCTAAGTATCTAAGTCCCTGCTCCACACCCAAGTTGGGAGCCCACCAGGAACCAAGCTGGGCCTCTTCAGACAACAGTACAGAGGTGGTACCACTCCTACCTCAATCCTCCAGGATAGAGAAAAGCCACTGCCTCTGCTAGGCTGCCGTGATCACTGGGTGCAATCCAGCCCAGGGCTGAGAAAGATGAGAGGAGTGGGTGCTGTCAAGGATAGACTGAGTGGCCAGAGGTGATCTGAAGGGAAGGGGTGCTCTAACCAGGACAGTAGGCTGAAGAGGAAAATAGACAGTAGGCTGTAGAGGAAAATAATAATAATAATAATAATAATAATAAACAGCAGGAGTGTGGAAGGGGAAGCTCATGGGAACTCTGAACATACTTCCTCATCCCTATTTCCATCAAAAGTCCTCCTACAACCTCACTGGAAGTATCTTCCACTGAGCCTTGGGAAGACCAAGGTTCAGATGAAGGGAGGGAATCTTTACCTGCCCAACAGCCCAGTTAGTTGCACCACCCTGTCCTCACCCTCTTTCCAGATATGGAGTGGATGCCCATTCATACACGAGCCTACGTGGGCACCTTGATCGGCTATGTCTACAGCGTGGGCCAGTTCCTCCTGGCTGGCGTGGCCTATGCAGTGCCCCACTGGCGCCACTTACAGCTGCTGGTCTCTGCACCTTTTTTTGCCTTCTTCATCTACTTTTGGTACGTGGGGCCCAGGGTGGGAGGAGGCATCACAGGAACCCAAAGGCCTGCAACAGATAGGACATCTTTCACAGCTCAGTACACATTCCACCCCACAGAATCAGAGAAGGTCAAAAACAGTCAACCCAGTCTAGAACCTCAGTGTGACAGGTTGGGAAACTGAGGCTGTGGGGAGAAGGCTTTGCACCAGAGTCTCCAGCTCTCCGGCATCTCCCAGGCTTCCAGCCTGTATTGCTCCCATAACCAGCACCAAGAGCTCAGCTTCTGGGCTTGGTTGGGCATGGCCTCATGGTCCTGAAGAAAGGGATTTGACAAGGCCCCTAAGTTCTCCACATTAAATAACATCCCTGGATACCCAGCCCCTAGCCCCAGCCCAGTTGTCAGGGAACTGAAGCCATGCTGATACCCACCCCCACTTGCCTCCCAGGTTCTTCATCGAGTCAGCCCGTTGGTACTCCTCCTCTGGGAGGCTGGATCTCACCCTGAAGGCCCTGCAGAGAGTGGCCTGGATCAATGGGAAGCAAGAAGAGGGGGCCAAGCTGAGCATGGAGGTGAAGCTCCTGGAAACCTCCTATGACATCCCTCCAGAGCTCCAATCCCAAACCCAGGACCCTGAGGACTTCTCTGAGAAAGGGGTTAAGGTGGGAGGAGCCCCTGAGAGGAGTCCAGGTCCTGAGCTCTGCCCTTGCCTGCAGGTGCTCCGGGCCAGTCTACAGAAGGAGCTGACTATGGGCAAAGGCCAGGCCTCGGCCTTGGAGCTGCTGCGCTGCCCCGCCCTTCGCCGCCTCTTCCTCTGCCTCTCCATGCTCTGGTAGGCCCAGACAAGCAGAATGATGGATAGGCAGACAGACAGAACAAGAGACAAAAGGCTAGCTGGAGAGGAAGTAGATGCAATGAGTGGCAGAAGCCAGATGAGAGGGAGGAAAACTCAGCAAAACCTCCATGAGGACCAGTAATGCCATGCCAGAGAGAGTCCTAAAGAACCAGAAATTTTCTATCTCACCCAGTCCCAGTCACCAAATTGAACATTAGTTCTCCCACCTCCTTCTCCTTTCACCAACCCTGTTCCAACATGGAAACATCTCATCAGGACGAGTTGTGGAGTCAGTAGGATTACATTATAAAGGCGGAGCCAAGTCTGGCTTGCAAATCAAGAGACTTTATTGGCATGGTGGTGCTTTCCAAAAACACAGGCCCAGGAAGGTGACTAAAAGTCATTCCCAAAGGTACTCTTACCAAGGCTGACATAAGGTAAAAATATATTCCTTTCCTTTTGCAACCTTCCCTACTGTCCTTCTTACGTTCCACCTTCCTTCCCATCATCTTAGAAGTCCAATGACAATTAAGTGCATTCAGAAGGAATAACCCTACCAGTAAATTCCTTGCATCTAAAAAAAAAAAAAAAAAAAAAAAAAGAATTATTTATTTCCTTTTTTTTTATTATTATTTTTTTTTCATTTGATGCAGGGCACAGGTGCTCACCAGAGGGAGACAGAGAGAAAAACTGAGAAAGCAAGCTTCCAGGTCTGAGACTCAAGCCATAGTCAGCCACGTAGAAGTCCAATGCCTTAACCACCATGCCACCTACTGGTCCAAATTCTTCCTTTCATTTTGGAATTTACCCTAAATTGGGGGCCCTAACCAATAACCTGAGCTTCATCATGGACTCTTGATATCTGAAGAAGCACAACACTCGTCCCAGGAGCATAGTCAGGTCCCAGACAGTTCCAGCCTCTCCTAAAACCTTGACCCTAAATATTTGACTTCAATAAATCTATCTGCTTTCCCTCAGTCCGGCATCAGTAGTAAGAGAAAGATTAAAACTATGTAAATTCTACATGGCGACTACATGAAAATTCCTCATACACTGGAATCTAATTATTAAAGGACTGGGGATTTGAGGAATATTGGAAGATTATTCCAATATTTACCTAAACTATGCAGTTTAAGTAGGAAGTTAGGGCCAGCCCCATGGCTAAATGGTTTAAGGAACTGGGTTCCACATGGCCGACAATAAGGTACAAAGCCTGGACACAGTGACATAGAAACACACTAGGCACATATGCGCCTATGGTCTAAATCCCGAATGGATGGAGAAGCAAAGAAGAAGAGATTGCACTGTGGCCACACCCCACTAGGGTGCTTTCTCCCTCTCTCTGTCTCTCTCTCTGATGAGCGCACACATACTCTGGCAAAAAAATATTTTTTAAGTATGAAGAAATATTAGCCAAGATAGATCCCAGTTTCTTAAGCAGGGTACCGCATACAACTCACCCCTCCCTAACAAATGCAATATCCCTCACCCTCCCCATAGGTTTGCCACTAGCTTTGCCTACTACGGGCTGGTCATGGACCTGCAGGGCTTTGGGGTCAGCCTCTACATAATCCAGGTAATCTTTGGTGCCGTGGACCTGCCTGCCAAGCTGGTGTGCTTCCTTGTCATCAACACCCTGGGTCGCCGGCCTGCTCAGATGGCCTCTCTGCTGCTGGCGGGCATCTGCATCCTGGTCAATGGGGTGGTACCTCAGGGTGAGCACCATGAGCACCTCAGCTCCTCATCCTTAGCCCCAGCCCCACACATAACCCATCTTCTTGGAAGGAATGGGGGGGGTCAGTTCCTCTAGGCCCCCACTGCCAAGCTCCTGTTGTGTGCCCTCCTTTGTCTCTAGATCAGTTCATTGTTCGAACCTCCCTTGCTGTGCTGGGGAAGGGCTGTCTGGCTGCCTCCTTCAACTGCATCTTCCTGTACACGGGGGAGCTCTACCCCACAATGATTCGGTAAGTGGAGCCTAATGCGGGGCCGGGGGTGGGGGGGCCTGTCTTAGGGAAAG